TGAGGATTAATTTAAACAAAAGTTCAGCAGCTGACAACTAAGTCAAGGAAAGTCATTAGGTTCAGCTTGCAACATTGATGTCATTCCATCCTTTAAGCCTGTGCACTCACATGAAACCTGCTGTACCCCTCAGCAGCTTTGCACTGAACACTAATACAAAGCTCTTTACAGGGCAAATACAGTGGAGCTACACTCCCATTTCAGTGCAAGTGGGATATCCAGCATATCTTTGGAAATCCTAAACATTTTGCATACCAGCATTCAGTTTTCTTTAAAAAACACGGGCTTGCTGAAGGGAACTAGCAGAGCCACCACTACAAAGTATCACCCAAAGTGCAGAGTAAAATGCACTATTGGCTTTGATGGTGATGGAACAGAGTTCGTTCCCTAAATGTGGAGCAATGGTGGGTGTTCCATCATGCACAGGCCTTGCAAACTTTCTTCGTGTTATAAGAGGTATGTTGTAAGATTACTGGCTCTACAGCTATTTTAATAGCAGAACTCTTCATTCTCATGGGTTATGTACAGAATATTGCAAAACAATCATTTAATCTTTGGTTTATACCCACAGACTAGCTAACCCAGAATGCCATGTTCATAACCAGCTCTCGTAGGCCTAGTCTATGCTAAAGGGGAAGTTAACAATGCAGCTGGCGTTGCGTATCTTAATTACATAACTGCATCTTAAAATAGCATTTTAGCACTATCCACCCAGAGGGAGGTCAATGGGAGCACACTCTCCCTTCAACTTCCCTTACTCCTTGTGAGGAGCGGGACTACCAGCACTGACAGGAGCTCCCTCTCAGTTTGAATTAGTATTTCTTCAGTATACCCAATAATTTGAATCCTGGAAGATCAACTGTGTTGATCTTCTCTGTAGCAGAGACAAGTGTTGCCATTCAGCCAGGAGGCTGTGTATCAGCAAATGATGTTCCTGCAAAATCCCCAATCCACCCACACTGGAAAAGGTAAAAAGAAAACTTTCCCCACATATGTGTCCTTGCTGTAGCATTCTTGATTCCCCACTCTGCTCTAACACAACTGGGTTAGAAAAAAAAAAAAAAATCAGAACTGGGCATTGATACATTCTACTAACAGCTGCTGGGAACCGCAAAGGTAAACAACTTGGCACAGCACGCTTGTGGTGCAGCAGGCATTTGTGGATGAACATCATCATTGCTCCAGGAAAGTGAGCTCCATGACAAATCCTGGAAGGCATTTCTGCTCTGCGCATTTAAAGCAATCACATGATCCGGGTCATAGAACGTCTGTATTTAGTACAAAGGTAAAGAAACAGAAAACATAGAATCCTCCTTGAAAAATGTGTTCATTTTATTTGGAGCAGATCAGCTGGTATTTGCCAGTCCTTCCATGCAGTGAGATTTGTTAATAATAAATACATCTCCTTTCAATGAGGACACGTGCATGTCTCACCTTTCCAATCCGAGAGCTTCTACAGGCTCTCCTGCCTCCTCCCCCAACGAAATACACAATACATTCTTTTGGAAAAACTTCACCATGGACATTGCATTCAGTAAGTTGTATAATCACATTTCTAAGTCCAGTGTTGTGCACAGCTGTCCTGTGCTTCTCTTTGGTTTTGTCATTATTTGTTTAAAATAAAGTGACGGCATCTCTAACACTGCCATATAAAGGCTTTAACACCATATTTAAACCAGGTAACCAGTTTCTTTTATGTTCCTAAGGCCATATCTTAGTTCCCATTGCAATAATCCATGGTACACACACACAGTCATGAGGCCATGCAACTCAAGACAGTCAAGGGATGTATTTGACCTGAGAATTTATTTTTGAAATGACAAAAGGATGGATTACCCCTATTCTGCCAATACATTAGGGAAATTGATTTGTTAAATGCCACCACAATAGAATAAGGTACAGTAAAATCTAAACAGTTGTTTTTATTAAACCAAATGCTTTGATGTGTACAATACGTTACCCTAATTCATCAAGACATGCTAAACAAGACATGCCAACGGTCAGATCCACATGTGCTTTCCCTCCACAAACCAAAAGGTGGGTGGGGAAGTGGGTGCAGATAGTGGAATAATTCCCAGGAATCCCAATATGAAATGGAAGGGTACACTGACTACAGAAGAAACAGAAAAATTCAACTGCCTCTTTTCATTCCCTTGTTGGAACTGGGGCTGTTTAACAGATAGTGCACCAACAACTGTGTTAGCAGCTGCAAACTTGGTGTCCTGACCACACAAAGTGAAAGAAGTTGAAAAGTATGGCTTTGTTAACACCTTTTCTGGAATCCCTGACCACACTCCAAGAATTATTTCATAGTCACCTCTACTAAACACAGGCAAAGTAGGGGAATAATGAAGTTCTCCCTTGGCTTTCTAGTGGTTACTCAGTATGAATGTTTTCCAAAACACACTTTTCTCTTGCTCATTAAAAATAAGATTTTCTTATGCTGGCAAACGGTCGACAACAATAAATACAAAAATTTCTCTCTTTCAGGCTATTATACAGAATTTGATTTCTACTCAGGCCCATTCATAGTGACATTTTTTTTCAATATTTTACAATTAAGAACTAGATTTACAATATGAAAATAAACTATGTTAAGTTTATTTTACAGTGACCCTAGCACCCGTTCCTACCTGCTTTGTGTCGGAAACACAGCTCCTGAGGTGATTCTGGGTTAACTTAAACCCCACAGAAATGCCATTGTAATGGATTTAATTGTCCCCACAAATCCAGGATGAACTCTGGGTTCATAGAAAGGCTATTTTCATGATAGAAAATGCAACACTGGAATAGTTTATTTAGAGACATCAGCAGAGTCTAAGGCTTCAATGCTAGGGTCAAATACATGTAGGCAAGAAGACATCCGGTCTCCAAGGAGTTGTTTCTCTGTGCACTTCCTTAGGGAGTGCTCCTGGCATCAAGGAGAAGGGGGATTATCCATGGTAGATAAGAGATGAGCCATTTGGGCTCTCTGCGCACGGGTGATGTGCTGAGTCATGTGAATCATGCAGTCCAGGGCCACCTCAGGGTTTGCTTGAACCAAACTGCAGTGGATACAAGAAGGAAAGGAAGGTGGCACCATTCCATTTCTAGCAGAGAGCCAGGCCCTGTACAGCTTCTGCTCTAAAGGTATGTCTAGACTACATGCCTCTGGCGACAGAGGCATGTAGATTAGGCTACCAGACATAGGAAAATGAAGCGGCGATTTAAATAATCGCCACTTCATTTAAATTTACATGGCTGCCGCGCTGGGATGAGGCATACCTGGGTGGTTGACAAATACCTTTGATGTCGGCAGGGGAGCATCCAGACTATCGCGCTGAGCCGACAAACAGCTGATTAGCTGTTTGTTGGCTTAGCGCGATAGTCTGGACGCGCGGGTGTCAACATCAAAGGTATTTGTCGACCACCCAGGTATGCTTCCTGGGATGAGGTCTAAGAGTCTTCCAAGATGAGCAAGACCTGTCCTGTGCCTCCTGCATACTGTGACCTGATGAACTGATCTCTTGTGGATTATTTATACCCCTTAGACCAGGGCTACTCAACATGAGGCCTATGGGCCGCATGCGGCCTGCAGTGCGGTTTGGGTTTATGTGCACATGGCCCGCAAGTGGAATCCTTTAAACATGGCCTCTACCGGGAACACGCTGCACAACAGCGAGGTGCTTCCCAGGCGGGATGAGCATTGAAAGACACAAGCAGACAGGCTGGCTGGAACAGACGGGTACAGGGTGTCAGCATTTCTAGCCCCCTGGCAGGAGGTGCCAGGAACGACGGGGCACTGAGAGAAGTTCTGGCTGCTTAGCCTTGTGGGCAGAGCCTGAGAGGTGCTGACTGGCTCACACTGGCCACATCTGGGTTAGGCGCCATGGCTTAAGGCTTAATCTTTGTATTCATGCCAGTCAGTGTGAAAGAAGCTATTTGCATATATATTTGCATGTACATGCAACCACACTTAGGTTGTGGCCCTTGGTATGTGCTGTGAGTATCACTGTGGCTCCCAGGGCTTCTGAATTGGAGTAGCTCTGCCTTAGACGCAAGGCTTCTCGGCCCCGTTTAACTGAGCTGCACCTAACTTCCCCTCCTGCAAGAGGTAAGAGCACCCCATTTACTCACCTTCGGATATGTCTTAGGGCATAATCCCGTTTCAAGTATTTAATGTTTTCTCGAATGGCTGATTGGGAACCTTCCTCCTTTTGCCATTGTTTCTCCAGCCATTTCGCCACCACCTGGTTATTGTCCCAGAGATAGCCCTAAAGAAAACAAGAGCATCCTGGCATACTCCTGGGGCAGGATCATACAATGTCATCTAACCCATCTTTTCAGTGCAGGATTACTCCCCACTGTACTGTCAAATCCAGTTTTAGAATATTCTGGAACAGAGAGCCCTTCCCTGGGACACAGTTCCTCATATCAACAGATCTTACCTTCACATATATCTTTTAAAGCCAGCACAGATCCAGAAAGATGAAGTAGTTATTCAAACAATGCAATGCCATTTGCATAGTGTGTGAATATGCAACATATTTGCATAATTTAACTCCCTCTCCAAAGATTTCCTGCCTTCTCCCCATCTCTGCCTCTTGCCCCAGGATTAATGTCCCTTTAGGTTTTTCCTTCTTACTTTTCATATCCCCACCCAGACATCTAGGATCTTCCCCTCTTAGATATATTAGTTTGCAGTTTTTCCAGCTGATTCTTTCTTCCTTTCCCCACTTTTCCTATTCTTTCAATGGTTCTGTAACCCTTCTCTCTATCCTTCCTGGTATTTGCAACTCTGAATTTCATGAACATGCTCTACGTTCCTTCCTCCCCAATCATGAAGGAAAATGCTAAACCAAACTAAACACAGATGATCCTAGACGTACATCACTAGACCCCTGCCTCAACTTCATAGATTGCACTTTGCTGTGGGTCAGGCACAGAGTTGCAGCCTATGTGACAGTGTTTGTAGCAAAAGCCAAATGAATTCAACTGTGGGAGTAAAACTTCACGAGTTTGTAATCAGCTGCTTTACTCCAAACTGAGCAACCTTGATCCTTACATTGAGTGTCTCTCACATTCCCTTCATCTACTAATTCCATCATTTCATCAAGCTGCTTCAGTTTATTTCATTAAATGTATTCTGAAAATTCATGTAGCTTTCTACTTAGAGTTTGGTGTTTCCCTGGACTGTTGTTAGTTCTATTTCTCTGGTTCCATTATTTTACTAGGGACAGAAATTAGACTTACAGGGTACTAACAGCCACAGTCCCCAAGTAATTTATAAACTCTTAAATCACGATTTAGGATTTTTATTTAAAGAGAAATAAAAACCAACACATTTATAAAAGCCTGGAAGTACAGGTGTGCAATCTCTTCTTTCTCTGCCTAAGACATTCTGCTTCAAGATAGAGAGATCAACCATGGGGTTTTTTTATGGTGTTTTAAGTTGGATAATCATTCACCTTTGAAGAGACAGTGCTTGATTTCAGCAGCCACTCACCACAGCAGGAACCTTAAGGCTCATGCTATGGAACAGCAAACCCAATTGCATTTTTTCAATCAAACTCAGGAATTAAATGGAGTGTGTGCACACAGCAATTGTGAGAGGCAGAGGAGGTGAAGAGTATTGCAGGCTGTCACTGGACAGTACAGACTACACTCAGGAAACAGACTGCAAACTAGTAGCATGAGAACCTGAAATAGCCAAGATGAAGACATACCTTCACAGCTCCTTCTGTCTCCATGAACCAGCGGCGCAGCATGGACTGGATGTGGATGTTACTGAGCTCACGGTCTGCATTCCGAATCTCCACTTTCACCACCTCCTCCAAGAGGAGACGCCACAGACGCCAGTACAAGAACGTGCGGGCACTCTTCCACTCAATGATATCCTGAGGTAACAGAAGGAAGAAAGTTCAAATTCAGGCTTGCACAGGAAATGCTTTGGGGATGGCAGAGAGGTGAAAAAAAGCTGAAGTTCAGTGTGTGGGAACACTCCATTTGACAAAGTATTGGGGAGGGGCAGAGGTAACCTTGCAATTAGGGGGCTGGAGCACATGACTTGCTAGGAAAGACAGCTATTTGGGCTTGTTTAGTCTGCAAAGACAAGAGTGAGGGGGGATTTGAGAGCAGCCTTCAACTATCTGAAGGTATTTCCAAAAAAGGAGGGTAAAAGGCTGTTCTCAGTGGTGGCAGATGACAGAACAAGGAGCAATGGTCTCACGCTGCAGTGGGGTTGGATATTAGAAAGAACTATTTCCCTAGGAGGGTGGGGAAGCACTGGGATGGGTTCCTAGGGAGGGGGTAGAATCTCCATCGATAGAGGTTTTTATGTCTCGGCTTGACAAAGCCCTGGCAGGGATGGTTGAGCTGGGGTTGGTCCTGTTTTTGGCAAGGGGCTGGGCTCCATGACCTCCTGAGGTCTCTTCCAGCCCTAGAATTCTATGAATCTGCATCTCCAGAGAGATTCCCCATTTTGACTTTCCTCTGCTCACCGTCGAGGTGCCCTTCCAAGGGACAGCAGCAGAATCAGAGTCGGCTTTTCAAACCCTACCGCGGCAGCAAGACTACCTCCAGCAGCCCCATGCAACTCTGACCAGAATTCCCTTCCATACAGCATTGCGCTCCAATGGAGCCAGATGCTGGAGCAACGGGATTCTAAGTGGGTGCAGCGGGGTTCATTCCTGCACTACCAGGTGCAGGGACTGGGACTTCACACTGTTCTCTACTGTAATGGGAGTTTTTTCTTTCAAAGATGCCCTGACCAGGTTCTCTCGAGGCAAGTCACCAGGATTGTTAAGGGGGGTGGCGGGGGGTCCGGAAAACAAAGCACTTAACTGTAATCACACCCTCCTCCTGCATCCTTCCTGGTGTGTCATGAAGGTCAGCAAACTGTACCGCCACCTGGTGGAAGATAGGCAACAGCAGCTCTTCCCGAGCTTTCAGCTGCTTCTCCAGCTCTCTCTGATCCTCTTTGGGGAGTCCTGGGGTGTCTTAATACAGGAAACAAAAGCACCTGTTAGTCTGGATTTAGGTTCAGCTACCCGCAAGCCATCCTGCATCCTTCCTGGTGTGTCATGAAGGTCAGCAAACTGTACCGCCACCTGGTGGAAGATAGGCAACAGCAGCTCTTCCCGAGCTTTCAGCTGCTTCTCCAGCTCTCTCTGATCCTCTTTGGGGAGTCCTGGGGTGTCTTAATACAGGAAACAAAAGCACCTGTTAGTCTGGATTTAGGTTCAGCTACCCGCAAGCCAGGCAGCAAGAGCAGCAGCAAATCTTAAATTATACACCAAGAAGAAAGGGTTAAAAAGATTCTCTTTAAAACCCAACAAAAACCTATGGGCTTCACAACTACTGCCCTTACATGGGAGTCTAGAGTTTATACATGGCCACAAATGTGCATGGCATGCTACAGAAACAATGAGGCACTGTTTCTGCCCCGAGCAACACAAGAACAGCCAGACTGGGTCAGATCAAAGGTCCACCTAGCTAGTGGTCCTGCCCTCTCACAGTGGCCCACGTGAGGTGCCCCAAAGGGAGGGAACAGAACAAGTAACCATCAAGTGAACCCACCAGTCACCCATTCCCAGCTTCTGGCAAACAGAGGCTAGGGACACCATTCCTACCCATCCTGGCTAATAGCCATTGATGGACCCATCTTCTGTGAATTTATCTAGTTTTCTTGAACCCTGTTAAAATCCTGGTCTTCACAACATCCTCTCGCAAGGAGTTCCACAGGTTGACAGCATGCTGCGTGAAGAAACGCTGCCTTTTGTTTTAAACCTACTACCTATTAAGGAATTTCCAAGCTAAAGCTATGTCTGAACAGATTGTGCTAGGGCCTGTGTTTTACAAACCACACTTTCATACTTTCCTAGGGCTTTAGAAACAAGTCACTTAGAAGAAATACGACTCAGTGCTGATGTTTGCTCAATGAGCGCACATGTGAATGGTGTGAAGAGGCCCAAAGAACACAGACAATGCACTACAGACATCACATCCCTGTAGACAGATTATTATTAATTTATATTCAAATAGCACCACACAGTCCCAATCAACTTAGGCACTATCCAAATATTCACTGTTAAAAAGAGATCTCCACTGGCACGTAAAGAGGATTTCCTAGATGGTCAGCAGAATCATTATTTATCCATCTTCAGAGTTTATTCCTCATGCTTTAATCTAGCCATGCAAACCGAAACAAAAGGGAAAAGGAAACAATTTATCTTACCCAGCTGTTCAACAAGTCTGATACAGACTGAATCAATTCTTCTCATGGTCTTTATCAAATCCTTCCTCCTGAATTTAATTTCTACTGTTCCTTCAGCTTCTAAAATGCCTCCCCTAGAAAGCATGGAAGGTTGTAATGTCACGTTTGGTATGGTGGAGAGGTTTTACTGGGGTGACTTTCCAGTTTTTACATTATTTGCAGTAGAGATTTTGTTCTTGTTATAAAACAGTATGTTTAAAATGGAGGATTAAGAACAAGGAATTAAGAAATCTGCTAGGGTTTCCCTTCCCAAATCAGTGAGAAGTCTGTAGTTTACTTGCAAAAGTTATCACCAAATACTGGCGACAAGAAGAGGAAGGATGTTAAAAACAATACATTTATTCAATCCAGCAACCTGTTTTGTTGGAGGATCAATGTTACGTAAAATATCCAGCAAGTTGTGCTGTGGGAACCCAACAATTTTTAGCTGGTGGCTCATGACTTCGGTAGGATAACAAATATCAAGTGTTAACGAGACCCCAGCAAGTGAGTCTACCAACTCATAAAAAGGCACCACCTAACCAACAGGCTCATGTTTACTCTGTAATATGCTCCCACAATTTTTTGGTGTCACTTAGTTTTCTCCTCCATCCCCTGCGTGCAAGGATGAAGCAGTTAAGAGAATATCACACAAGGGCCCAGGTCCAGGCAGAATATATGCCTTTTACAAGCATAGGAAGATGAAGGTCACCTTTTCATAGACTCACCAAATCCAAGACCAGAGCCAGTGTCACCCAACCTCCTATGCAATGCAAGGCAGAGGACTGCCCACAAAAATTCCTAATGCAGAACCTTCTGAACAACATCCAAACAGGATTTTAAAAAGTTTCAGGGGTGGAGAATGTACCATGACCCTTTGTAAAACTGTTCCAAAGATTATTTACTCTCACTGTTAAAAATTTACACCTTGTTTCTAGCCTGAATTTGTCTAGCTTCAGCTTCTAGCCACTGGTTCACATTCTACCTTTCTCTGCTTGACTGAGGAGCCCATTATTAAATATTTATCCCCCACATAGATATTTATAGGCTGTAATCAAAGTGACCAGTTCTATAAGGCAGGTTTTCTAATCCTTTACCATTGTGGATGGCTCTTCTCTGAACCTTATCCAGTTTATCAACATCCTCAAACAACAGACACCAGAACTGGACATAACGTTCCAGCACCTGTTACATCAGTGCAAAATGCAGAGCTAAAATAACTCTCCTACCTCTTGCGATTCCCCTGCTTATGCAGCCCTTCTGCCACTGGAACATCTCACTGTAAGTTCATATTCAGTTTATTACCTGCTACCGCCCTTGAATTTTTATCAGTCATTGCTTCCCCAAGATAAAATCCTCTACCTTGTATGGCAGGGACGGGGGAAAATCTTTTTTGGATTGGGGTCACTGACCCACAGAAAAATCAGTCACAGGCTACACACAAATGAGAAAGAAAAAAGAACCTCCCCTGAGAGACACACACTCCCCACCTTCCCCCTTGCACAACAAAGCCTCGTCGATTTTATGTGCTCCAGCCCCCAGTGAGGCCGTGGGGGACTGGGACAGCAGCACAGGCTTCCCAATGCTGAGGGGGGCAGATCCAGGCAAGCCAGGGGCCACATCCAGTCCCCTGATTTGAGGATGCTCACTCCTGCTGTATGGGCCTGCATGCTTTGTACCCAGATGTATACAGTATTAAAACATGTCTGCTTGCTCCCAGTTTACCAAGCAATCTAGATCGCTCTGATTGTTTTGGGCTCATCATCCTTGTGTAGCCATCACAAAATATGAGGGGACTGGCTAGACACACAAGCCAAAGGCTATAGAAAATGCCTTGAACAGAGAGTAACATGAAATGTAACAGCAGACTCCAATGTCCCCCTCTCTCCCTCCCCCAAGAACAATATTGCCTACCTGCTCTCCTTGTCTGCATAAAGCTCCATGTACACAGGGTTGATTGTTGGATCAATTACTACCCAGGATCCTCCTCTTAGCTCCGCATTTGGGGGGATGTAGACAAGAACCGGCTGTTTATACTGCCTGAGGCTATCAACAATGTATGCCCCAAATTTCAGTACTTGATCGTACATGTCTGAAAACCAAGACCTCCCTGTTAGCCATCATTTCTGGTAACTCCTGCTCTGTGCGGCTACAGGTACAAGACGTGGGTTGGGTGACATGCCAGAAAGCAGTGTCAGGATGACTATTCACTCCCTACCCTGCTTCTGGATTCTTGCACTCACCCCCACTCTAATGTGCCCACCCTGCAGCTGTTCCAGTTGAAGACGCCTAGCAGTCTTACTTATGCAATCCCACAGCACTTCCCTCCACAGTAAAGTGAACCAAATAAACACATACACACACACACACACACACACACACACACACACACACACCCTGACCTGCAACATAACACTTCTGCATCCCTCCCACCCAATCTGGTCACCAGTCTCTGCAGCAGCAGCGCATGGCAGCTACCGCAAGAGGGGAACTCCTCAGAGCCGTGTCATGCAGAACATGCTGACAGCAGGACATTGTTCCCAGGGGAATGGCTCTGTCCAGGATCCCCATACTCCACACAGGGACACATGGAGTCACAACCCAGGTTTGCCTACATCCCGGCTCTCCTCCATGTCTCCTGGTCAGGTGAAAGCTCAACTCACCTTTCATGCCACCCGAGAATCCCCTCCAGTTTGCAAAGATCAAGAGAGGGAGCCGCTCGCGGTTGAAGTCTTGTATGGCCTGGGCAGTTTTGAAAGCTGAATCTGGGAACCACACCTGCCCAGCCTGCTGGACGATCTGAAAGAGAGCCAGCAGGAGTGTTCCATTGGGAGATTCCATTGGCAAACAAGGTGGGTAGGTCAACACTGGATGGAGGTTGGAAGGCTTAAAACCAATGAAGCGACTGCAGGTAGCTGATTCCACCAGCCTGACGGCGGAGGAACCCAGGGCCATATGAAAAGGTCACCCAGAGCAGGATTCTCTTCTGGCTTTACTATATGAAGCTCTGTGAGCACATGCACAGTGGCCATCCTCGATGGTTTCTCCACATACCTTTGCTTCTGAATCCAGGTTGGCGGGGTCAGCAGTAATTGCCATCTCCACTGTCCGGGTCTCCACAGCTATCACACCAATGGGGATCCCACCTAATCTGCAGAGGGCCAGGACCAGGTCAGTTTCCAAAGCAGAGATGAATTGCCACGTTTCTCTCACTTGGAGACCTGCTTTTCCCACTGCTCAGTGGAGGGGGAATGCCACAGAACCCATTCGTAGGATGACTCTTCCCCCCAGGAGTGCTGAGTTGAACATCAGCTATCTTTTACAGACAGCTTCTTGTCTACTCCTGCCCAATCTGCCACTCACAGGACCAGGTCAGTTTCCAAAGCAGAGATGAATTGCCACGTTTCTCTCACTTGGAGACCTGCTTTTCCCACTGCTCAGTGGAGGGGGAATGCCACAGAACCCATTCGTAGGATGACTCTTCCCCCCAGGAGTGCTGAGTTGAACATCAGCTATCTTTTACAGACAGCTTCTTGTCTACTCCTGCCCAATCTGCCACTCAGACAAGTGCACAGACTTGAGTGGGATTCTGCACGTCAAGGCAAAAAACAGCTCTTTGTGAATACACAGTTCACAGCTGGTTTAGGGAAGGGCCACACCTGGATGTTACCTTGCTCGGCCAACGACAACTGTTTGTGCCCAGGGCTGCATGATCTCTAGAAATGATCCATTGTCAAAGAAACCACTTAACCACTGGCCTTTTTGCACTACAAAAAGGAAACATCAGAAAGAGAGGGGAAAAGAATATAAAAAGCAGTCAAAATTGTAGCAAGACTCTAATTTAACAACTTGAGGCTGGGCTGGTGAGTTTGAAAGCATAACTGTAAGGCTATTTCACTACTTCTCAATAAGCTCCCAGTGCACATATTACCCCAAATAGCAGTGAAATTCTGCACATGCAGGACCAGAAGGATTTTACAGGAACCAATACACATAGGATGGGGAGCCAGCAAAAGAATATCTGCCGAAGGTCTAGATTAGAACACCATTACTTACTTGGGTGTGGTCTTCCTGCCAGCATCCATCTGGGATTGTAGGGGGCTTTGGAAGGGACAAATTCAATTTCTCTTTCAATTGGATCACATGTAGGAGTAACAGGCACTGGGCTACGACTGTCCTATAACAAGAGAAATCTCTAACACATTTTTACCATAACAGCACTACAAAAATCCATTGGACAATATTTGTTCCCTCTGTACCCTTAATGCTACTTAGGCTATTGCAGAAAAGGCATTAATCCAAACTCATTTCCTTACATATAATTATTCTCTCTTATGGACAACATTTTACATTGCTTTCTACTAGTGCATTCGATGGTGGCCAAAACGCCTTCAAAACAGCAACTACAGAAGTAATATCTGCACATGGAATGGATTATTAAAAAAAAACCCAAAACCAGTTGTGTCTTTGGGGTGTTCATAAAATCAAGGTATTATGTTAAACAAAATGTCACAGCCAACACACTGCTGTCTAGTTAGGACTACTTACCTTTGGCATATATGAAAGCCACTGTAAGATGGTGTAGACACCCTCAAAGTCATCTGGGACAGTCACATGGGAAACTCCATTATTATGCATGATCTGAACACCACCCAGCTGGTTATTGGATGTGTAGACTTCACGCCCCAGGACCTAAGTCAAGGTATAAATAGGAAAAAAAAATCCATTACCCCAAGAATAAACTAACTGTAGATCTTACGCACACACAAATATGTGCTTGTTTAGTTAAAACCAAGCTTCAATATAGACACATTTATTTTTGTTTAAGAAGTGGCTTAGTTTAGTGTAAACCAAATCTTGACTGATTCAAGCTAAACTTTGGTTTTACAAAGTAAGACTGTCCACACTGTCTTTTGTATTGGTCTGACTAAATGGGTTTAAAAAAATATCACTTCTTAAATTAAACCAGAGTAACTCTAAAAGTTGAAAAGGCCATACACATGCCACAGTGACCCAGCTGACTGACCAAAACAGTATGATTACCTGCTCTGCTAATGACTTGCTTGGTGATGTTACCAACCTCCCTGTCTCAGGAAACACAGGGGAGTGGTATACGTATTAATGTTTGCAGAGACCTTCAAATGCTGTGAATTATGTGTGACCCCCTCCCCCTCACCTGTCTCTTCTACACCTATTCTGTGAGTAAATCATCTGGTTTGAAAACCTATCATGTACAGAGCACTGTGGATTGTGTGTGAAATGTTAAATATCCATTAAGGAATTCTGCAAATGGGAGATCATGAATGTTTCTGGTTGCTACAAAGAAGGGTGATGACTCATCACAGAAAAAGGACAATTTTCAGGGGAAAAATCAAGACCTTATTACCTTATTCAAAGCACTGGCTCCAGTGAGGATGATGTGGGAGTTCTCCACCTGTATAACTCGTTGCCCTAGCCTCACCAGATACGCACCAATTCCAATGGCACGACATGTCACCTATGACAGACATGCAAGGACAAGAATTGCTCAGAGAAAAAGGGCTACAGAATCATCATAAAGCATCAGCAGAATTCAACATTCTTTTCTACCAGCCTGGAAGACAGCTAATGGGATGGCAGTGATTAGTCTGCCACAGCTACACTGATACATCATTACCACAAATCAGCATTTTCCAGTGAAGAATGTGCTTTGGCATTGCATATCATCAGCTTGTTGTTTCTCTCTGGTTTCAAGCTGCCAGCCCATAGCAGGTAGTTCTGCTCAATAGTCTATCGCATGTAGAGTACCGCTGGTGCTTTGCACCAGGAAATAAACCCTATGCATTTCACAGCGTTAGTACATTTCATCTGAACATCAACAGTGAAGCTTGTTCAACAAGACTGCACAAATATCTGGCTCCACTTTGCTTGGCCAATCCTCAGCTCTCTCATCCTGCATGGCTCTAAAAGCAAACCTTCCTGGCAGGAGGGCCCTGCCACATTACGGTCCACTTTGATCAACTTATAATGACACTCGTGATTTTTAATCAGCTACTTAAGTCTGAAATGTCATGGTGTTTTAACTGTAGGTGGTCCTGTCCCAAAAAGGAATTGTAGGGGGAAGGGAATTGTCAACATAAAAACAGCCAGGGTGGATCAGACCGAAGGTCCATCTAGCCCAGTGTCTTGTCTTCTGACAGTGGCCAATGCCAGGTGCCCCAGAGGGAGTGAAAAGAACAGAGTCATCAAGTGATCCCTCCCCTGTTGCCCTTTCCCAGCCTCTGACAAACAGAGGCTTGGGATACCATCCCTACCCATCCTGGCTAATAGCCATTGATGGACCTAACCTCCATGAATATATCTACTACTTTGAGCCCTATTGAAGCCCTGGACTTCACATCATCCTCGGGCAAGGAGTTCCACAGGTGGACTGTGCGCTTAGTGAAGAAAAAATTCCTTTTGTTTCTTTTAAACCTGCTACCCTTTGTGGCATTGCTACCCTTCTGACAGCAGCTTTGCCCTCCAGAGCTGGGTTGCGGCACAGTGACAATTGCTGGTCAGGAGACTAGCTGTGAAGGGAAAGCCAGCAGCATAGAAGGCAGACTGGCATGGTATTGCCAACCCTTACTTCTGTCCTGCTGCATGCAGAGCTGGGCCCTCAGTCAGCTTCTGCCACTCTTCAGTCACCTGGCTCTGAAAGAAGTGCAGAAGGGTAGCAATACTGCAATCCTGCCTAAAATGTTATAACCCCTCTTTTAGGTCAGGAACCCCAATTTCAGAAATATAGGTCTCCCCATGAAATCTGTATAGTATAGGGTAAAACACACAGAAGACCAGATGTCATAGTCCATGACACGTTTATGATTCTGAGTTTAGTGGGGCCCTATTCATGGGCACCTCAAAGGCTGGACAGGAGTGAAGGGGAATGGCTCAAAATTAGCCAATGATTTTGAAAGCCATACCATGCTAATGGTCACAATTTCATCATAAGCAACAGAGGACTCCCCAGCAATGGTGCCTGATGCTCTCAGGTTCTCTACTCCAAATCCTTCCTCTTTACCAATGATATCAGTTAGGACATACCTGTGGGGAAGCCAAAGAGACAACTCAGAGTCACAGACGACAGCCAAACATGCTAGCTTTCACAGACTGCTTGCAGCTATGGATGGGACTTAGACACAGAAGACACTGCCTGACCTAGGGTGAGGCGCTTTTAGGCTTCAGCTTCTTCATTTGCAGAAGGGGACAATACTTTTGCTGTCTCAGAGGGGTGTGATGGGGATAAAACTAAACACGCCATAGGTCCAAGACATCGGATTCATGCTTGGGACAGCCAGATCCACGCACCACAGTGGCTATACATTGTGCTCGATCAGTGGTTGGTGGGGAATTTACACCTCCAGCTTGCAGTGACTTGAATAAAAACCCACTCACCTGGATTCTCCTCCTTCCTCTACATGCTCACAATGCACTGAGTTCATGGAGCTGATCCTTGTATAATCCTGTGGTGTCAGGTACAGGTACTTGAACCCCTTCCAGTAAAGTGATAAAGAATTAACTGAGGAAGCAGCCTGCACAGCCATTAAATACACCGTTTCCAACAAACTCCTGATACTTACAAAAAGTTAAAGTCTGTTAGGATACAAACCTAAGCAGCTTGTAGTGAAGTTCACTGATGGATAGCTTAAAATGTAAAGTTGGGCATCTAATTTGCTAATTTAAGTTTATTGTGGGCTTTATAATGTATTTACTTTACAATATCTAAATGCACTTTATATTAATATACCACCACATTATATGGAACACACACAGATAGGGTACCACCAAACTAATACAATGTATGCAAAAGCCCACTGATGTATGGGAAAATAAGCAGAAACTCTTAAATTCATGGGGTAAAATTTTCAAAATATAGAAATCACTTGGGTCCTTAAGTCCTGACATCCCATTTGCTTACGATGGGTTAGGCACTTAACCCTTAGCTTAGGCCCTTAACTTGCTTTTGGACAACGATGCCTAATGTTCTTTTTTGCCTGGATTGCAAAGCACACAGAATAAGCACAGCTTTAGATCCAGGCCCAGCACAAAGAACCCTGCGCCACATGCACAGAACTGATCATAGGCCACCCACAGGCCATTCCAACTCAAGTGATCCTCGACAATACCCTGATTTCTCAGGCTGCCCCCTCTCGCAGCCTGCTTTGAAAGGGGCATTTTAGCGCCACCTTCTACTTTCTTGGTCCAGTTAGTGGATTTGCCAGACACTGTAGAGAGGGGCAAGAGGGATATGCCGCAGCCCAAGGACAGCAGCCATCAGACAGGATGTGGATCGAGGGTACACGGAGGTGGGGGGATGTACTTGTGAGTGGAGCCCTGCAATCAGACTTGTGTATTATCCCCTTATGTTACCAAATCACATTTAATCTTACCACTGCTGTTTCACCTTTATTATTACCCTTCTAATTTACAAATTAGGTCTTTTGCAGAGAAGGGCCTCTCCTGCTTCCGACTGTAACAGAACATATGAGCCTACCTTGTAGGGATCCCTGGGATCCACCCAGGCCACCTGGAACATGTGCTTTATCTCATCTGCAAACCCAATCCGTGCCCCGCTGTTTGCTGCAATGTAGATGCGTGGGATGCCTTCTGAGCGGGCCAGCTGCGAAGCTTGCAGGAAGAGCAGATCCTCCTCCGGTCCGAAAGAGCCAATCTTGTAGGTGATGTCGTTGCTGATCACAATGATATCTCGGCCTTTGGGATATTCAGGGGTTTTCAGATTCATTTTGAAAGCAACCATCCCAACCTGCACAGTGGGATATAAAACCACAAGGACAAGTTTCTCAAGGGGGGGGAGAAGACCCAAACTGTGGGCAACACTCTGTCACAGGCTCTGTACGTGCAAGCAGCTTCTCTTCCCAACCCTGTTCTCCAAACTTTAAAATGCATCTTAGGTTGATTTGTTCAGTCTGAAGAAGTTCAAATTCCTATAAAATGGCTAGAACATCTAGGAAACTGGGAATCAGATGCAGCACAGATGCGACTCACTAAGTGGAGTAAAGGCTGCTGATGTTTTACTAGCAGAGCCACCAGTATTTTATTTTGCCACCATTTATGAGATTCCATTCACTCCTCCAAGACGTACCACACACAAAAACTGCACAGAATCTTGCAGGGCAAGAAGGGCAGCTCCACTGGAAAGTGATGCAAAGTAAAAAAAAGCCAGTAAAACACGCAGGGCTCATAAAATAGCCCCACCGCCTACTAGCTTAAGGACTTTGCCATGCTGAGAAATACCAGAGTCACTAACTCACGGGTGTGTAAAGGGACAAACCATGGCACATCATTTATTGGGACAATATTTATTTGTAACATGTCAATCAGCTGGCTAAGTAATGGGTTTGATTGAAGTGCCACTTACAGAATAATGAAAGAAAAAGATGTAACTAATCTCTCTCTCTGGCTCCACTCCTCTCTCTGGGTATGTCTACACTACAAAGTTAATTCGAACTAACGGACGTTAGTTCGAATTAACTTTGATAGGCGCTACACTAGCGCTCCGCTAGCTCGAACTTAATTCGAACTAGCGGAGTGCTTAGTTCGAACGAGGTAAACCTCATTCTACGAGGACTAAGCCTAGTTCGAACTTACTAGTTCGAATTAAGGGCTGTGTAGCCCCTTAATTCGAACTAGTGGGAGGCTAGCCCTCCCCAGGTTTCCCTGGTGGCCACTCTGGCCAACAC